GTGGCCGCCGCCGCCGCCGCCCGGGGCTTCGGCCTCTCCTGTTGGACCTTCCGGGCCAGGTCGATCGCTTTCAGCCGCGGTTTCTCTCTGGTGTCGGAGGCTGGACTGTGTTCAGTCTTGGTGGTCAGGCTCCGGCTGAGGGATGCTGCTGCCTCCGGACACCGGCGGCAGTTCGCCCGCTGTCTGACCCGAGAAAGGACTGCGTTCAGGCCGGTTTTCCAGTCAGTGCAGACTCTCCTCCCGCAGCTGTTCATTGTGGTGTGTAGTCTGGTGGACAGTTCACATGAACGTGGAGATATAAACACAAACTCCAGAGGACATGTGTGCGCCGTTAAACTACTTCCGGGCCACGCCTTTCAGAATAAAAGCGTACAAACTTCATTTTCGACTTGAACTAAAAAAGCAAGAAAATACAAAAAATCCAATACTTTAGTTGTAGAAGTGATTTTGATTAAACGGATACTCGTTCAGTCACATAGGTGGTATTTTTGACTTCTGGTGGCTGGAATAAACATTAACAACAAATGAGCTGCCATTTTAACTAATTTGTCAGGACGCTTCAAAAAATGCGATTTAACAACAAAAAATAATCCCCAAGCATGTGACTTTCAAAGCTGTTGTCTATTAAAAACACTGGACTGTGCGGGCAGCAATAACTTCCTGTGGCGGTGTGTCGTAATCTCCTGTGTCTGACAATAGGTATGCTCGTTTCTAACACCGCCACTGCCCGGTCTACTTGAAGCCACTGGATGTTATAGTGATCTTTAAAGCACCGCTCGCCCGGTAGATGTTGAGGTACAAACCGAATGAGCCTATGGTTGGATGTTGTGAATAAACAAAACCGCTTTTTATTTTTATTGTCGATGTTCTGAAAATGTGAGCGTTTATTTGGACGTTTTAAAGGATGTTGTTCATGCGATGTTCGAGCAGGCTTCATTAAACCTGGAAGCAGAGGGAGGGGCAACCTTTGGGGTTTTTACATGGTATATGTCTGCATGAAATAAAAAAACACACAGGCTGCAGACATGAAGATCACAGACAGCGTGTTGCGAAGTTTCAGGGTTGCAAGGACATATCGAGAAAACTCCCAGAAAGTAAACTGTGTGGACTTCAGCCCAAATGGGGAAAATGCGATATCAAGCAGCGACGATGACTGTATTGTGTTATATGACATCCGGGAAGGAAAGTAAGTGGACAACATTACATTTAAAAAAACAAACAAGTGGGAACTGAGTGATTAAAACTGTAATCTATTTATGCCTCAATAATGTGAAAATCAATAATAAATAATGGTTTCCATACTGTGTGGACTCTGTCACTGGAGGATGTTCACTGTGGTTCATCATTGATTGACATTTTTAAATGTTCTGTCCTTTCTCAGGCCTAAAAGGACCCTGTTCAGCAAGAAGTATGGAGTAGACCTCATCCGCTACACACATGGAGATGCACAGACTGTAGTCTACAGCTCCAACAAGCTAGATGGTAAATAACTCAATAGACTGACAGTCAGCTGTTGGCACAAAGCACCAAAACAACATATTACATATCATTTAAATGCATCTTCTACTCAGTTTTCAAAACTTAAGTGTGATTTTGTGTCTTGTAGATACCATCCGATACCTGTCACTCACTGACAACAAGTACATCCGGTATTTCCCCGGTCACACTGCAAGGTGAGTAAAAGCATCCACCTCCACAGATGAAATGGATGTAAACCTTTAAAAGTGGATTTCTTCCCAAGAAGATGAGAACAAAGTAAATACAACCCTTGTCAGGTTGCTGGGTGGAGAAATAGCTACAAACTTATTCCAACCCAAGTTGCCCTTTAATCAAAATAAAATGAGAAAGCTACAACGTGCTCAACAACAAAAAAATCTTTGATGTTCGCTACATATTTTAATGCATCTGTTATCTATACATTATTATATCCTAATGTTGATAAAGGTATGGTAAAAATATATTCATACTTATGCTCAGTGTTTCAGAAATACACAAAGTAAGTTTTACTTTCTTATCTGGTCTTTTCTTGCCTTATTTTACCTTATCTAAAAATAAGTTTAATTCCTTAATGGTTGAAGGTAATTTTGATGTTTTTCCAGAGTCATTGCTCTCTCCATGTCACCAGTGGATGACACGTTTATCTCCGGCTCTCTGGATAAGACGATCCGGATCTGGGACCTGCGCTCTCAAAACTGTCAAGTGAGTAGTCTGTGAACAGGCTGGAAAATGACACTTCCTCCGTTGTCTGTGGGCAGTTACTCAAATGTGTAATTACAGCTGCTGCTACAAAATGTAGCACTAGATCAGGACATCCCAGATTACTGCACATCAGGGTATCAGTAGTTACCGACCCCCCTTTTAATAAACGTTTGTCCTGTGACCACTGGGTGTCCCCAGACCTCCTATAGGAACCACGGCTGCACTTGGATCTTCCCTCTCACATGTAAAACTGGACCAACAAACAGTAGCTAAAACCCAATATTGTAAAATATTATACTATAAACAAAGACTAAATGGAAGGAGAGACTGTAATATGAACGATGCATGACACAAACACCAGTCATTAATCAGTAAGCCTGAAATATGGTGAGGAAATCCAGACTTCCTGTTGTTTGTTGCCTCTTTTTCTTTGGATTTATTTGTGTGTATTTGTGTTTCAGGGTTTGACTAATCCACTGGGGAAACCTGTATGTTCCTTTGACCCCGACGGGCTGATATTTGCAGCAGGGGTGGAATCACAGGCCATTAAATTATACGACCTTCGTGCTTTTGACAAGGTAAAATGCAAATTAGTGTGTTAGTGGTTTGTGTGAGTACGTTCATAGACTGCACGACGTGGTAAAAACGTCATATTGCGAATATTTTGATACTACGATGTTTCATGATCAGTAGGAATTATTAATTTTGTAACACAATTTACATTTTTAATAAAAAAAACTATTAAAATCTGTAGCAAACAAACATGTTTCCTCACATCTGGATATTGCACTTGGCCATATTCTGATAGTGATAATATTTCTATAATTGTACTTTTGTATGCATGGAGGTGTTGACCTTTATACACCTGGTTAATTATTTTCTCTGTATTTTTAATGTATGTAATATTTCTGTGTAAAGGGTCCCTTTGCCTCCTTTGAGACGAGGTTTAATCGTATGTGTGACTGGACTGGACTCAAATTCAGTAACGATGGGAAACAGATTCTCATCTCCACCAATGGAGGGATGATTCGCGTCCTGAATGCCTTCAATGGATCTGTGCTGCACACTTTTTCTGTAAGAGACATACACATTGTCACACACCTACTGAATTAAATCAGTCTGTTTATGATTGCTTTGAAGCAGCTCAATGTGGTGTTCCCTTTGCTAATATCAAGGGCTACAACAACAGTAAAGGCATCTCCCTGGAAGCCTGTTTCACTCCCGACTCGCAGTTTGTCATGATCGGTGAGACTAAACACCACCATTTATATTTGGGCCTCTTCCTGTAAGCTGTGTGTTTAAAACATGTCTTGTTTTGTAGGCTCAGAGGACGGGAGAGTCCATGTTTGGGGCACTGAGAGCGGGATGAAGGTGGCCGTGCTGGATGGGAAACATCCGGGGCCAATCAACACACTGCAGTTTAACCCCAGATACATGACGTTCGCTAGCGCCTGCACTAACATGGTGAGATCAAACTTATCACATCGACGTTTGCTGCTGGACAAACTGATACAAGCAGAGTGATCATTTGTAATTTGTTCTTCTCTTCTCTTAACAGACTTTTTGGCTTCCGTGTGTTGATGACGTTTAGCAGGACGTTGCCACAGTTAGTCCTCGTTGTAAAACACGTCACAATCATACAGTGATGTAGGATACCTTCGTGTGTTAGCCTCTCTTGTCCTGATAAGAACCTTGTGGAACTGATGGTTTAATGGAAGATAAACTGTTACTGTTACTTTTTACCTGCAGTATTTTCAAACTTTTGAAAGGATTGATGAAGCTGTTACTAAATCCTACATACCTCCTGTTTAAATTCAGGTACAAAACATCGGGTCAATATTTTTTTACCTTATATCTCAAGATCGTGTGATTCAATTGTAATTGAATTGATTAATAATCAATGTTTTTATCATTTTAATATTGTTAATAAAGTGTTTTTAGATGAAAATAAGAGCTCATGTTTGTTTCTTCTTTTGACATTCTTACTTTTATCATACATCAGATGAATCTTGATATACAGTACTAGCGCTTTAACGAATGATTTATTACGTTATCGATTCAAAATGATTCTTTTCGATTTATCCTTTGGTCTCTATAATATAGGTTGTATAAAATGTGACCAAAGTGACTTCTTCCCATCGCCTGCTTTATCTTGCCAACTGTCCAAAACCCAAATATATTTAATTTATTATCACATAAGACAAAGAAAAGCAGCAAATTATAATTCAGAAGCTGTCATTAGGTAAGATTAGGACATTTTTGCTTACATTTTTATTTTCTATCAATTGACTAATCAATTGATTGTTTGAGCTTTATATAGTGAATAATAATGGGCACATTTACTAAGAAAATGTAGATTGTTCACACTTTCCAGTACAACACACTGATGAATGATTCTATAGGTTGCTCTTTGTATATGAGTAATTACAGCCTTAAACAGTGAATGACACAGTCCTTACAAATGTGTCTTTTTTTAGACAATTAATTAAAGGATTAGTGTGTCTGTGGTTCTCATAACAACAACGCTCCCATGAGCTCACTTAACAGCAGTTCATTCAGTCAGTAAACCAGTCTGTGAACACACATGCAAGCGTGAGATAAACGCAGGCAGTTTTAATCAATTTGATGAACCGGTGTTTGTTTTGTTTTTTCGTGCACATTAAGTGTGTCTTCCTAAAGTAGAGGGGGGGGGGGGGGGGGGTTCTGTTGAATAATGTATAGATGCTTGGGTTGTGTACTCACCACTGAGTGAATAATGGATGATCCCATCACAAATAACCTCGCAGGTACACACTTATCTTTCTCTCACCTCCTACCCTATGTGTGTGTGTGTGTGTGTGTGTGTGTAAACGTGTGGAAGAAGAGACGTAGAAATAAGATGTGATAGTTTAAACATTTGTCACTCACACTCTTACCAACTTAACGCTCGCTCGCTCTCCTCTACTATACTTACTGTACACACTGTACTGATGAGTTTGTTTTTCTTAGTCAACAGTAATGGATCCCTCAGTACCTACTGTACAGGAGCCAACTCATCTGGAGCTCTTTACCTCACACTTTGGAATTAAATGTGTTTAAATGTGTTTATATGTGGCCATAAGAAACCTCACATTCTCATATTTTGATAGCGTGCAGAGGTACTGACCGTAGTCTCACTTTTTCATTTACTATTGAAGGTAACTTTGCCAATAAAAAGGTACTGACCACCAATACATGAAACCCCCTCACTCCTGGTCCATTGAACAATGTCAGATTCTTGCTTGGTGTCACATTTCTGTGACCAGGGGACTAGAATTTGAGATCATGCCTGAGCTGATCGGCCATTCAATGTGAATGACTGATAAAATGTTGTTACATGTGGCGCACTAACAGCATCTGAAAACACTGACCACTGATGCAATGCACGCTGGATTTCTACCTAGCTTGTCTCCCCCCTCACAGTACAGGACATTATGTGACCTGGGAGATGCTCCCCCACCGAGACTTTTAAAGTTGTGGTCATCGATACGCAAAGAGTTTTAGATCAGTGGTTAGGGTGGCATATCCACTGACAGGCACGTTATTACTCATCAGCCACAGTTCCGCAGATTGTATTTCAAGTGTTAGGAATCTCCCAAGTCACCCTCAAGGCGTTTATGTCACTGGTGCGCTTGGGTACATCTGTCTGCCATCAGTGTAGAGGCAGCCTACCTGCTGAGCAAGAAGAGCGAGGACACAGAGACCTGGACCTGGTCCTTCTTGCATGAGAGGAGTGTGAAGCGACTGCCAAAAGATGTCACACCAAACTGGAATTAACGGTACGTAACATTTTTTAAAGAAGAACTCTGTAATCTTTCTTAAATCAGGGTGTTTATGTGTATAAATCTAATTGTCTCCTAAAATTCTTTTAATCTTTTTTGACTTTTTAGCGTTTGAGCTGTCTGACATATACGTCATACACTGATATCCTCAGTATTTAATTGACTTTAAAAACCTTAAAGCGGTTCCTTGTGTGTATATAAATAATCGTGGACTGTAAAGGCTACATATATAATTATAATGTCTACTACTGATTGCCAGTTAAAATGTCTGTCTTCTGTTGTGATACTTACAATCATGATATGTAGCACCTACAAACATTTATGGATAGTTTAAGAGCCACCTATACGTGTGTTATGGCATTTGGTAATTGGAGCGTAGGGGGACGGGTTGGCAGAAGCGAACCTCTCTCACCTTTCTCACCTGGTCTTACATCATTTATGAGACCGCTGTGTTTGGTAACCATGGTGAGAGAGAAGACAGGGAGTGCAATAAATACCTGAATCGAGTTTTCACTTCCAAACAAACATTAGTGGGTGTGGAAATTGGGGGAAAGTTGAGGTTGTTTTATCCCTCAGACTAAATTTTCTTAGTGGCTCTTTGGTTCATATGTCCCGTGTCTGAGTCACTTTAGGTGATACCGTGACTGCCTGGCAGTGGATCAAATTTTCTCCCTGAAGTGGAGTCTCAGGTTCTTACCTACCCAACTCTGTCTCACTTGCTTTCAACCCCCCCCCCCATCCTCAGTTTTGACTTATCTGCCTTATATCTGGTTACTTTAGCAACATCTGAGCTGAAGGAGTTTCTGGCCCGAGCGAGGGGAGGTGCCATCAGAATAATGAAGATAGTCATCAGAAATGGTAAACATGAGATGCTTCTTGTATTCAGGAAGATTTGACACAAGTAAACTTTTAGTTCTAAATCCCAAGATGAGTTGAGCTGATGCATTTTTGTTTGCAGAGGAGTTGGTGCTAGACTGGTTCAGAGAGCCAGTACAGAGCTGGGACAAGGATTACGATCAGTTCCTGCTTCCTCTGCTCACGCCTCAGGAACCCTGCTACATCCTCTACCGTCTGGACTCCCAGAATGCACAGGGATACGAGTGGATCTTCATCGCCTGGTCACCTGACCAGTCGCCAGTATGTCTGGAGTGATGATGTCACTGTTCAGCCATAGTTTCAAATGTAGTCATTCAAATTATTGTAATAAATAATTAAACCAAAACTACATGTCGGTAAACATTGTTATGAGCTGAAAAAGGGAAATAAGCAGGACTAAACTGAACTAAATTAAACTTTTCTGGAAAACTACCATAAAACTTAAACTAAGATAACTTTTGAAAGTTATTTTTCTAGTCAAAAAATTATTTAAACACAGGTTTAGGCTTAGAGTTTAATTGTTATTATTGAAAAATTGTGATCACTATTGAAAACATATTTAAATTATATTTATTGTTTCTATTATATTACACAACACGTGCCTTAAACACATACAACATATAAGAAAAGATAAGATAAGGTAAGATAAAACAGACTTTAGTGATCCCAAACTGGGGAAGTCACTCGCTACAGCAGCTCCAGATACAACACAACAGATAAGAGAATACTCATTACCTGAAAAAACAGAATAGAAAAACAACATATAATGAAAATAGAATTAGAGTTATATGTACACTATATACAGCTTTTTATATACAGATGTGATAGATAAGGAACATTGCACAGGTCACAGCCGGAAGTGCTGGCCTGGTGTAAAAATAAATAATCACACAGTACAAAAATATATACCGCAGTACAGATTAGAGGAAATACAGGCAATAGATGTGTGTACATATGTGTTCTATAATTACATTATTCCACATTTAAATTAAAATTCCTACCAAAACTTACATTTTCCTGAATGCCAATGCTCTGTAGAAACAACCATAACCATGGCTAATATTCATTATATCCTCTCATCTGTCTGGGCACCTGTTAGGTGAGGCAGAAGATGGTGTATGCAGCCACCCGTGCCACACTGAAGAAAGAGTTCGGAGGAGGTCACATCAAAGATGAAATATTTGGCACAGTCGAGGTTAGTAAAATCCCTCCAGCCTGACAGCTGATCAGTGAATCTCCAGCGAGGAATCACCCTGTTTGTGTTCCTGTTTGCAGGACGACCTGTGCTTCCAGGGATACCTGCGACACATGTCCTCCTGCTCCTCCCCGGCTCCTCTCACAGCAGCCGAGCAGGAATTACAACAAATTAAAGTCACAGAGGTAAAGTTCAAACAGTACAAACTAAAGCACATACTGAATGTAAGTACATTGTGTACATTCAATCTTGTTTGCTTCTGCTTTTTCCCTGCAGGATAAAGTTGTATGGGTATGTAAGCTTTTCTTCATAACACAAATTCAACTGTGTGTGCATGAAGAAGAGAAAGGAGGACAGATTCAGAAACTGTCTCTTCTGTCCACAGGATGAACGTAGACGAATTGGGACTCCAACAGCGCGAGCAAGGGTTTGTTAAAATCTCTTTGACTCACTGGCATTTTATTTCCTGTCATGTGTTGGGAAACATCAGCACTGAGATGTCTGTGGGTTTTTTTTTATCTTGCAGGTTACAATGGAGTTTGGCTTGGACAAAAGGGCGCAGACTCTTCAAGGTCTTGCATTCCCGTTACAAGAAGAGGCCAAACGAGCTCTGCAGCAACTCAAGCAGAGACGTATCAACTACATACAGCTGGTGAGACTGAAAACCTTTATCTGAATCTGTTTATTACACAGAATGCAACATGTAACTTATTTCCTGTGAACCAAAACAAGCTGTCAGGATCTTTGTTTTTATTTTAAAAACTGTGTGCCACTGTTTGTCAGCGAGATTAGCTGTGCATGACTTGACCCCTGAACAAAGCTTGTTTGTGTGTGTTATGTTGCAGAGGCTGGATGTAGAGAAAGAGACCATTGAGCTGGTTCACACCAAACCTACAGAGATCCACGAGCTTCCCTACAGGATTCCCACAGATTCACCCAGATACCACTTCTTCATCTTCAAACATTCCCACCAGGGCCAGCTGCAGGAGGCACTGGGTCAGAACACAGTCTCATTGTACTTCAGCATAATATAAATTAATATAATTTAGCTTTTTATTTTCAAGAAACTGAAGGGAATCCAATTGAATTTGTTTTTATTAAAACCTTTTTTTTCTCGGGATGTTACTTCTAGAATAAGTCCTCACTCGTCCTCACTTATCAGTATATTCACATATTATCAATGAATCAAATGATCAAATTATCAAATATGTAACATGAAAGGGGTCGCTCGTAGAAATGTATATTTGCAGTTTCCCTCTATGGAGTGTTTTAGCGTCTTTCAGCTCATTGTTTTGGTCTAGGCTTTACTGTTCACCTCATCAACCTCATTTCCAGCTGCAGCGGGCAGCTGTTCTCAGTGATGAGTCCACTGTACACTACCTCCTTAGCCCTAAACAGCAGACAGAGATGGTTAGCCATTAGCTGGAAAACATAATGGAACATCTAGTAACTAAAGAGAGGAAGTTGGTGGAGACCAAAGCACAGCTACAAAGAGAGTGAATATTGAACATACATTTGGCCAGGGACTCAACTCCAAATTAATGATAATGTTACTCCATATGTGCAGGCTGTACAAATAATAAAGAACTGTTTAATAACATGTTAAACATATCATCTTTATTAGGGGACAATATGTCAATATTATGTTTTTAGCTTGTTCCACTGCCCCCCAAGTGGCTCAAAAGAATTTTACTTCAGATATCAGACACTATAGACACACATGTGGTCAACCAAATGTTACTCAGAGATTAGTTTAAAAACAGATACTGTTGACTAGTTTTCAACTCAACTTTCAACACAACTAACGTGATAGCACTTGTACTTATATTAGTTTAGGATGTTCTAGTACTCTGTCCAGTTTTTTTTAAAGAAGATCCGATCCAGTGACGCAACAAATATCCGCTCCTTAAGTGACGACTTTATTTATCTCTTGCAGTGTTCATATATTCAATGCCTGGATACACCTGTAGTATCAAAGAACGGATGCTGTATTCCAGCTGTAAGAACAGGCTACTGGATGAGGTGGAGAGAGACTACCAGCTGGAGGTCACCAAAAAGGTACAGATCACCCAGATGGCCCACAAATAAAATAACAATCAGACACAATCTGGAATATATCTCTGTAGAGGTAAACAGTAAATAAGGCCACCATCATTTGTCTCTAAACTGTTAGGATGATAATGAATGTTTTAGTTCTGTGGTTACTAAAAAGAGTATCCATTAATCTGTGTATTATTCTGTGTGTGTAGATGGAGATAGACAGTGGCGACGGCCTGACAGAAGACTTCCTGTATGAAGAGGTCCACCCGATGGAGCACACCTTAAAGCAGGTCTTTGCCAAGCCCCGCGGACCGGGAGGGAAGAGGGGCAACAAACGTCTCATCAAGGGTGCAGGGGAGAACGGGGAAGAAAGTTAGACATTATACACTCACATAAGACATTACACACACACACACACAAACCAACACGATATCTATGAATTGACTTGTTATTTGACTGTTTAGTTTCTAGCCATTTCTTCTTTTTAGTGGTGGACATTCATTTCACACTGGAAACAGGAGAAAATAGATCCACCATAAAGCAGAATTCATTCATATTTTCCTTTGATGAAAGATGTAAACAAGAACACTGTTGGTAGTCTAATTGGCTGATATGTGAACACATCTTTTGGTTTATTTAAATTAAATTACATTTTGATTTACATGAAAACCTGTGAGATTAAGTTGTTATTCCTCTTAAACCCTACTGTTGCACCAGTGTGTCACAATACAAACACAAACTATTGTGCAGCCAAACTTTTCAAAACAAACTTTATTTTCAATTATAGTGGAGATCAAAAATGTTCTAGATACCAAATATGTCTGGAGGAATTTTGGGGAAATGGGTATTGATCGATTGATTTTATTTAAGGATTATTGGAAACAGGAAAAAAAGGAAAAAAATCCAAAGGATAACATGTTAAAGCGAAAAAAAAAAACTGTATTTCAAACACGGTCCCGAGACGTTAGAAGAAAAAGAAACAAAAAAGAAGCCAAACATGAAACTAACCTGCAATCCAAAATATTAAAATATTTTAAAAAGTACAGTTAAAATAACAATGTATTTTTATAAACATATTTCCCTGTCCTAACCTGACCTCTACATTTCCAAAGACTTGATGTGTAACTCAGTGGCACCAGTGTAAAAAAAAAAGAAACTTCTGGCTACATTATAAAACAATGCACAAAATATATATAACATTTACATTTTATACAATGGTGAAAGCCATAAAAACATGAAGTCTTAGGTATGTTTTCAATAATTTCCTTTAATAAAGAGTTTAAACAAGCTGGTACACAACAAGTATGACACTGTCAGACAGTGGGGGCATTTGGGGAAATACAATTATTAGTTTTCCACCTGAGAGTTAGATGAGAATATTGACACCACTTTCATGTAAATCTGCCTAGAAACACTTCTAAAGCTCACTAACTAACACTTTATATCTCATTTGTTTAATCCGCACAAAAACCAACGTGTAAAAACAACAAAGCAGTTTACAGGTGGTAATCCGGGTTGCCAGGCAACCGGCAGAGGCTTGGATGTTAAAGGGTTAAAATGCTTTTTATATATATAATTGTATTATTTTTCATTTGCCAATTACTGTCCAAGTTGAAGGCAACATTTCCCATCTCAGTTGCCTTCTCCTGTCTCTGCTGTCGACTTCAGGAAATGATTCTCACTGTTTTTTTATCCCTTCACTTATACTGATTCAGCTATTCACAATAATTGGAAAATGGCTTGTAAATGTCTGCTTTAGGGTGGATTATCATTTATATTGCCTCAGTCTAGGCTGTACCCATGGTTCACTCTTAACCACATGCAAATTCATCCACATCACACTCACTGTTGCCTTTGCCTTCTGCAGTCACCTGAGCAAAGTTTGACTACACTCAACTGAAGGCTGTTGTTTTACATGGTCCTACAATAAAATATTTTCTTTATTTTCTAGTGTTGTTTCTCTCTCTGTGACTGTGTGTGTGTGTGTGTGTGTGTGTGGCCAGTAGCGGCAGCAGGGATCAGGGCTCAGCAGCAGAGGTCAGTTTGTTGTGTGTTTTCCAGGAAGGCGTTTACTCAGAACCCTTCAGCCGTGCAGTTCTGCTGCTTTCATACCTCATGAGAAAGACGGTTGATTTTGTTTCTTGGAAACGGTTCAGAGCTGAATGGCGGCGTTCAAGCTGTTCATTATCATTGTTCATGGGAACTGTGGGGTGGGTGATAATGAACTCTGACTCTGACTTCTGACATGACCCAGTTCAGTTAGATTCCAGGAAATCAGGTCAACCATTTTCACCACACAGGCAATTTTCTCCCAGATAATACAACAAGAAAAAATCATTGGCTGAGAGGTTATTGTTCAAAGCGTGATGGGGAGGATTAGTAAAGGAATAAAAACAGGGATTGGGTGTTAATGTATTACAGTGTTTGCTTTACTGTCCAATATCAACCAAATTCTACTCAGTGCAAGTGAACTGAAATTAAACTACATATAACATATATACATATATATACATATATATATATATATATATATATATATAGTCAGAAATCTCTGTAATGTTGAAACCATACAAGTGTTACACACTCTGTTATACAGACATGTAGAGGTTGAAAAGCAGTATTTCCATTGGACACAAATGCAGCATTAAACAGACTATTGCCTGCAGCTACATCAAGACAGCCAGAGGCAACTCAAACATTATCGGAGGTTCTGCTGTTTCTCTTCAACATAAAAGCTTGAGAACTTATTATATTTATATTTTCATTTTTATTTTTACTTATATGTACATACCTATACATACATTTCTTTTCTGTATATTGTGTTAGATAATATAAGATTATTTATTTTTTTAAACATGTAGAACAGCTTGTAACAAACAACTTCCCATGAATAAAGTATTTCTGATTCTGTTAAACTGCCAACTGAGCTTTTAACCATACAATGATGAAATAAGTCAATAAAATGTGAGAACTGAATTAATTATCATGCAATGTTGCATCATGCTTCTTTTACTAATAACCCAGCCAAGTCATTTTTTTATTTAACTCCAGTAGTTTTTATTTCAAAATGTGTGATGAGAAGTGACATTGTGAAATAAAACAGGCAAAGTCCAAATAATCAAAAGAACTGCACAGACTCAAAAGGTTTTAGTTGGCTCGGGTTGCGGTGGAGGGCTTGGACTCATGACCTCATGGCCTAATTTCTGTATTTACAAACGTTTAAATAATTTCTCACAGCATGTGCTCCATTTTTACATCACATCTCCATCCTGCTCTGTAAGTCACAAAGTCTGAGCTCTTCTTCACAGAGAGCGCCGTCGTTGCACTTTATTTTGAAGGCCGTAGCGGAACCGGTGTGTGTGTGTGTGTGTGTGTGTGTGTGTGTTGTTGTGTGTGTGTGTGTGTGTGTGTGCGTGTGTGTGTGTGTGTGTGTGTGTTTACGGGGCGCAGTGAGGCTGGCAGCAGCTTGTCTCTCACTGCGGGCGCTGAAACACAAAACCTTTCTCGGAAACCGATTCCTGGAACCTCCGTTAGTCCAAACTGAACTGAGCTGTTTTCTGTCCCGCAGTTTACTGAATAAAGAGCTTCACTCCGCTTCAGTCTCACACTCTCACTCGGATGTTTGTTATTCCTTTATTTTTTTATGACAACAACAAATCTTGTATTAGAAGAAATGCTTTCTTCTTCGCTATAGTCGACTGAGACACTTCATTATTCACTGTGAGAAACTGCTGAATTATTATTTCCCTGGGCTGTTTTTATTTTTCAAGCTGGTCGCGATCCCTATGATTTCTTTTTTCAATATCAGGTAAGATCATTTTAAAGAATCACATACATGTTTTATTTTTTTCTTATCATCTGCTTAATTCTAACACTGCTATACTTTACTAACATTTTCTTGTGGATATAGGCTATAAATAATTCTAATGCATGAATGATTATAAGACCGCAAGCATTGGCTTTTATATATGTTTATATTTATATCTATATAGATATATTAATGAGTTATCTTACCGTCACACTGTGTACTGTAGGCCTACCATTAGGGCAACGTGGGTACTGCTTGTATACTGCTTACTTTGTATCTTTAGTTAAATTGCTCTTGTGTAGTCTCGACTTTTATTTCTTATTTTTATTTTATCGTTTATTTTATATATTTCAAATAATTGATTTTTCACGTTTTTTCTATTTACCTGTACTTATTCTGTGCTTAACATGTGAACTTTCCCTCTAGGGATCAATAAAGGTTTATCTCATCTTATTTTAGTTTTTAAATTCTGTGTTGTACACAGTAAATACACAGTAGCCACAGGAACTAAACATTTGACTTAAACAGCTATATATATTGTTCTGTGCTGGTTTAATTGGTTTTGTAAATTTGAGTTTTAATACTCTGTTTCTTTAATTGTTTGTTTGTTAAGTTCTATATTTATCTGTACTTTTATCTGTCCTTGTGCTGCTGTATGGTTGGTTAGTTAATATTTGTTTCATATCTCAATTAAAATTGTGCACCCAGGACACACATTTACAAACTGAGATGTACACTTGTATTACTTACTTAACCTGACAGAGATTTTGGAACAGAATACAATAAAAGCTTGTAAAGTAAGTAAATTATTATGTTTGTTCTTATTTATTCTGTTGATATTCACTATGTTAACAGGGCTGCCGTCAGTCAGAAATGGTTGCCCGGGCTGTAGCTGTTTCCCATCACGAGGAGCACAGAGGTTCATGCTGTCCACATCCCTCTCCTCCACCCTGGGAGCCAGCAGAGGACCTGCGCTGCATCGCCACCACCTTCCAGTATCTACAGACCTCAGGTACGCAAGCAGTCTCCCTGATTTTGACTTCACATTTTATTTCATTAAAATACAACATCTGACCTTTTGTTTTGAGTCCATCTCATATTAGTATTATTTGTTATGGTATTGTGGAAAGAATTGGAGGGACTTTAGGAATCAAACTTAACCCTTCCAGTAACACAATTTGTATCATCACCAAAACTAAATCAAAAATTAAAATTAAAACTGATATCCAAACCATCTGCAGGCTGGTACTGGGGTTCCATCTCCGCGGTTGAAGCTCGCGAAGCTCTCTTAAAACAGACTGAAGGCACATTTCTGATGCGGGACAGCAGTCATCCTCAGTACATGCTGGCCCTGTCAGTGAAGACCCGCTGTGGACCTACCAGTGTGCGCATAGAGTACAGCAGGGGCTCTTTCAGGCTAGACTCTATTTCCCCCAGCCTGCTTCACCTGCAGTCCTTCCCAGATGTTCTCAGCCTCATACAGCACTACATGGGCTCAGGCGACACGCCGCAGGGCCAGGCATCTAAGGACATCCATCCAAAAACAAAGCCCGACCCTGCCAAGCACGCAGTTAAGGACAGCGGCATGCCTCTGAAGCTGATACACCCCCTGCACAAACCAGAGGCCTTCCCTTCATTGCAGCACCTGACGCGCCTCACAGTCAACAGATTCACCGACTCCCCCGACCAGCTGCCACTCCCAAAGCCTCTGCTGCGCTACATGCAGGACTACCCCTTCCACATATGAGGGTCCCTGTCCCTCGGGTACAGGACACAGAGACAGGAACGTGGGTCAGGGTCACACTCCATGAGCACACACTGTGAATCTGGGACAGTTGGACACAGCAGGCAACAGACAGCAGCCCAGAGGGATAAAAACTGAAATACTTCATGTACAATAAACCTCAGTGTGACCTCACTGCCCATGAATAAGCTCAGTCTTGCTACAGCACTACTGTTGTTCTCCAAAAAAAACATTGTTATTGTTTTTATATGTTTACACTACTGTACATTATTTTAGTTCTACAATGCCCTATGTGAGTTTTTTTCCCCCTTCATTGGCTCCATTTTCCACCAGTAAGAAGAGTCATATGGATTTGTTTGCACGTTTTAGACCAGTGGTCCCAAAGACAACCCAAACTTATCAATAATAAATCTGTAAAAAGAGCAGCTATTGTTTGCTTTGTTGTTCCAGCAGAGATAACATTAGAAATACTTTGGATTTTCATTTTTTTCATCTCTGTTTTTGTTTATTCTGGAGCTCATTGTGAGGGTGCCAAAGGACCTGAGGTTTGTGTTGAGTGCTGGACAAAGCAATGTTTATTCACTCTTTATGAAATCAATGAACCTGATGAACCATGGCCAAGCCAACAGTAATCTCACGTGACGCTTGCAACCGTTGGGCACCATTACAGTTATCACAAATCTCTTAAAGGTGTATTTGCATCCTTTTTTTTTGTTTGTTTAGCTTTTTTTGTGTGTGCTGTGGCTCTCTTGATACAGCATGTTTTGATCATTATTTTGCACAAGAGGTTCTCTCCCTGCTGAGTGTCACTGTAATATCTCCCTTCTGCATGCCTGGGTTTTATTGGTCAAATCCAATCACAGTATAATTAGGAATTTAAATAGTTGAGGGTACGTTGATATGGCATGTTGTTACCAATATTATGAATGTGAAAGGATTAGGGTCAGGCTGATACTACATGACATGAATACTGGAGCGCCAGTGGTGGTTGACAAGTCAGTTTAAAAGATAAAATAAAAGACAGCGTACAATGTGTATTTAGTATTTGTTTTATGTGAAGAATCATTTTCTAAATCATCTTCCTTTTGAAGAGGTAAAACACACACACAATTATTACCAGGCACGGATACCAGTGGCTGTTCTTGGAAAACTGTTGTTAGCTATTAAAAGACATATGTTTACAACTGGTTTCATTCTCAGAAGAGGATCATATTTTCAGCGAAATAAACCTCAGACCTTTTCTGTTTGTTTTTTTCAAAGTGTTTTTTACTGTTGACTGACTGGCCAAACAGTCAGATGAATGTGAGGTATTAGTATAACTGTTTTCATGGAAACACGCACGAGGTGGTTTCTGCGAGGTGGAACTGAGCAGTGTGCAGAAAGCCTCTTATCAGGATTAGAGTAAGAGCTGCAGTTATTAATACACTGCTGCACCAACTGAGAACAGACTATGGAGTAATTTTAGTGCCAGCACAGATTGAATCTGAATTTAATAATTTAACATTTTAAATGTTTAAACTGGATATTGTAATCAATATTTTAAATTGAAACTGAAATTAAATCTTATGGTTTGGAATTTAACCCATTTTACTTTGAACTTGTGAGTTTTGTTTCAGTTTTTATCAGAGTACGAAATTATGTTCAGAATTTAGTTTTCAGATTTAGTTTTTCAATATTCAGTTTAAACTCAGCTTCACTAGTAGCTCGTCTAGCTATGTAGCACACTGCCACACACTAAAGTGATCTTGGTCACATATTACGAGATGTAAGTTCAGTTGAAAAAAGAAATGCTAAATACATTGATACAAAGTGTTTACCTGTGAGGTGCAGCAGGTGTTTTGTCAGCCATGACAAAATGGGAGCAACTACACAGCTATCCTCATAGCCAACATACCTAGAATGCCTTGCGGTCTGAAGAAGTCCTTTGAAAAGAGTTGGATTGAATTGGAGTTCTTCTAGTTTATTAGACCCCCAGATGAATGCCTCCGAGTAAAAACTGAATTTGAGAAATAAATTCTGAACTGAATACGGAACTTCATCGAAATTACAATAATACTCACAAATTGAAAGCAACACAAATTATATTCAGTTTCAAACAATAAAACACTATTTCCATGAAACATTAATCTAATTACCAATCAATAATCAATTGCAACAAACCTGGGGTGATGTGGGGGGTGATGTGCCAGCCATGGTACCTTTAAATTTGTACATAAGTGCAGCACTAAGAGTAAATGCTTCTTTCCACCACTGCATATGGGTCAATGTCATTTACAGCAGCTCCTACCATAAACAAAAAACATGTGTTGTACTGAATCTATAGAAAGGGGATATAATCATGTAGGACATAATAGACCTCAAGGTTCAAGGTCACTTTATTTGTACCCAGGGGGAGATTTGGATTGCAGTAAGATTCCTCTTGACAAAAAAAAAATATAAAAACAACAAACAACTCAGACAGTAGACAAACATAATACAAACAGGATAAAGGATAAAGATAAATGTAAAAGTGTTCCGGGCTTTAAAAATCAGGACTTACAAAGATAGATCAATAAATAAAACACTAAGATAAATAAAACACTAAGATAAATAACCACTAGAATAAATAAGATAAAGATGCAGATAAAAACAAAAAACTCTGGAACAAAGCTATTTTTATACATCTTGGGACTATAAACCTCATACAGAAGGAATAAGCTGGAATTCACTACAGGGTGGGAGTCCTTTATTTAAAACGGAGCTGGTTATTCACTGTAACTGTGTGCAGGGATTCTGGGTTAAGCTGTACCTCAGCAGTCAGCCAACTAGACCATTTAACAATTTGAGTGAGGGAGTTTCACTTCTTTACTGAGAGGTTTCCAAACCATGACACCAAAGGAAAAAAAAACTACTACTACTACTACTATTACTAATAATAATAATCATCATCATCATCAACACCACAACAATCATCAAGTACAATACTCATAATAATGTATAGCAATAAATATATAATTGATTCAAGTTTCAAGATGTTTATTGTCATATGCAACAAATACATCAAGCTCCTCTGTGCAATGAAATTCTTTCTTTGCTGTTCACCCTGATAC